AAAGTGTACCATAACAGATGGATACAAATGTTTTAAGAATATGAAGACTAAGTACAATCCCTCCAAACCATTCTGTATCTTGTCAATAGGCAAGTTCATAAAATGTTCCATTATCACTGAAGAGACTTAAACACTGCTGGGAGGTTAACTTGAAGTCATTACTCTGCTTAAAAATCCTACATTGGATTCCCATTTTCATAAGATTAAGTTTAAACTCCCTCGATCCTGCTTCCGTTGTCTGAAATGTCCCTTCCTTTCTCCTACTTGGTTCTTACTTCAGACTATGAAACTCAATATAGATACCTCATCTAGGAAGATTTTCTTGATGTTCCACAAATTGTTGGTTAGGTGGTTTTTTCTGTATGCTTCCGATATTGCCCTGATCATATATCTGTCACTGCCCATATCATACTATCTTTTAATCATATTTTTATTTTTCCATATCCCCCTCTCTCACATGCACTGTTACATGTGAATTCCTTGAGGAAATCAGCCAGGTCTTACTAGTATTTTTGTCCTGTATCTGGCATATAGTAGGTTCCCAGTGTTTGATGAATGGATAAATAAATTGGTCAATGAACTAACTTTTCCTGTTTAGAGACAGAAGGCCAAAGACATGACATCTGAGCTGAAACTTAAAGGTTGCCTAAGATTCACTAGGGGAAGAAAAGAAGAAGGAAAAAAGGTATTCCTGTCCAAGGCAACATTATTTGCAATGGCATAGGAATAAGAAAAAGCCCACCATGTTTAAGATGTGGCAAATCATTCTTTGTGTCAGAAACTGGACACTTGTCAAAAATAAAGTTCAATCTCAGTATAAACATTTTCAAATTACACTAGGCAAGTCTTATGCTAGCACTACAGAATTCTTAAAATAGGATCTGTGTATTATTTTGTAGCCTAATGAAGCTTGGGTAGATTGTAGCATTTAAATAACTCACTTATAGGATGTAAAGAAAAGGGAACCTCCTCATACACTGTTGGTGGGAATGTAAATTGGTACAGCCTCTGTGGAAAATAGGATGGAAGTTTCTCAAAAAACTAAAAACAGAACTACCATATGACCCAGCAATTTCACTCCTGGGTATATATCCAAAAAAGCAAAAACACTAATTCGAAAAGATACATGCACCCCAGTGTTCATGGCAGCATTATATATGATTTCCAAGATATGGAAGCAGCCTAACTGTCCATCAGGAGATGAACAGATAAAGAAGATGTTACACACTAACACACACACACACACACACACACGCACACACACACACACACTGGACCACTACTCAGCCGTAAAAAAAGAATGAAATTTTGCCATTTGCAGCAACATGAATAGACTTGGAGGGCATTATGCTAAGTGAAGTAAGTTAGAGAAAGACAAATACTGTATGATATCACTTATATGCGGCATCTAAGAAATACAACAAATTAATGAATATAATAAAAAAGAAGCAGACTCACAGATGTAAAGAACAAGCTAGAGGTTACCAGGGTGGGGAGGAAAGAAGGAAGGGGCAAGTTAGGGGTAGGGGAGTAAGGGGTACAAATTATTAGGTATAAAATAAGCTACAATCATATATTATACAACACAGAGAATATAGCCAATATTTTGTAATAACTATAAAGGGAGTATAACCTTTAAAAATTGCAAACCACTATATTGTACACCTGTAACTTACAGAACATTTAAAGCAACTATACTTCAATAAATAACTAAATAAACTCACTTATTCTTGTCATATGCACATCTTCTCAATCCAGAGTTATTATTGAGCCTCCTCAGATTTGAGGGCTATTTCTTAGTGTTTATGTGTATGGTAGGATCGGGGTAGGGGGTCAATTATTATTGGAAACTTACGGAACAGAGTTTTTACTTTAGTTTCCAGAATCTAATTTTGTCAAATTATGATTGAGTAGACTCTATACCTTAGGAACCCTCCAGAGTGGCATTGCACAGTAAGATATATGAGTAACTCAGGCATTAAAGGGAGAAATCAAGTCAGCTGATACTCTTTTCTCTAAATTGGCTGTCAATGAGAACTTAGTTAACTTATGTTAAGCCACTATCATATCTACAACTGTCAGTATCAATAGTCTTTCATACTTAGCATACTAAGTGTTCAACCTCTTTCTTTCGGAATACAGGAATAAAAAGAGCCATGATGAGCATGTATCACTTCTCTTGGGCTACTGGCAAGGACTTAGGAAGGAAAAATAACATGTGCTAGCTGTTGATGCCATCAGTTCTTTGTCGTTTTTTGTGATGGTGGTAACACATACATAAAATAAGATTTACCATTTTAATTGTGTTTAACTGTACAGCTCAGTGACATTAAATACATTTACATTATTCTGCAGCTATCATTACCATCCATCTCCAAAACTTTTTCATCTCCCCACACTGAAGCTCCATACTCATTAAAAAATAACTTCCTGTTCCTCCCTCTCCCCAACCCATGGCAACCACCAATCTACTTTTTGATACTATGATTTTGATTTTGAATATTCTGATTATCTCATATAAGTGGAATCATACAATATTTCTCCTTTTGTGACTGGCTTATTTCACTTATTTTATAATATCTTCAAGTTTCATCCATAGTATGGCATATGTCAGAATTTCCTTCCTTTTTAAGGCTGAATAATATTCTTAAATGTACATACTACATTTTGTTTATCCATTCATCTGTCAGTAGACACTTGGGTTACTTCCACTTTTTGACTACTGTATTGTGAATAATGCTGCTATAAAAATAGTGCACAAATATCTTTTCAAGTCTCTGCTGTTACTTCTTTTGAATATATACCTAGAAGTGGAATTGCTGGATTATATGGTAATTCTATGTTTAATTTTTTGAGGAATCACCTTGTAGCTTTCTTAAACGTCAGGGAAACAGAGGAAGAGCTGTACATGGAGAGTATGTAGCTATTGCCATTGTAGTAATGATTGATGCTCTAAGATCTAAATTTCAGTCCTACCTTAGCCACCTGTGAAATATATGACCTTGGATAAGTTACTTACCCTGTTTAAATTTCTCTTTTTTCATCTGTAAAATGAATATAATAATGCTTTACTAGATTTTTTAAGGATTAGATGAGATTATATATGTATATGATATTACTTAGTAACTTATAAAATGCTATATAAACATTTACTAGATTAACCACACCAGCTTCCAGAAAAACTCAGCTCTGGTGCTATATTTGATTATTAACCACTGTTACTGAGCTATTCCAAATCCCAGAAAATTATTCTCTTAGGATCTGAACTGGCATTACACTTATATTTTCATTCGGCACACCAGACCAGAATAGTTTCAGATAAGGAGCTACCCCAGGTAGTTTATTGTGACCCTGGACAGATGTCATGGGGCTCACTACCAGAGACTGCCTTATAGCTTCAGGTTCATTTGGGAGTTAATGTTGTATATATGAATAGAAACCAGACCCTCTGGTCCTACCACTTCCCTGGTCTTACAAAGTATGGTCCATAGCTACAGAATAGCTTCAACCTCCTGGGAGTACCTACAGCTAGAATCTGCTAAGAAGTTCTCCCTTCCAATTCAGGTGTCACTTTCCTTAAAAAGAAAGAGTCAATATCACTATCACTGTGGATCAGTGCACAAAATTTAAAATCTGTCTGTCCTTACTTCTTTGTCCTGGAATCTGGAAACCAGAGGCTCTAGGTGGCTAAGAAGGACAAAGCTAAAAGCAAAAAAGAAACAAACAAAAAAAGACTCATCCAGCTCTGGAAACAATGGAATTTTCTAAGTCTATACAAACATCTTATGTAAATCAAGTTCTATATTACTTACAGTCTTTGGAGAGAAGCTTGATTTTTTTTTCCTCCTCCTCTTCTTCCTTCTCTGTCTCCTATTAATTATTCTGTTACTTCTTTAGAATAATAACAATAGTAATAATAATAATAATAATAATAATAAGGACAGATTCTGACTAGAGGATTTAAGGAATTGGTCATGACTCTTGAAACTTTTATTCTTTTTGGCACTAAATCAAACTCCTGAGCTATAACCAAATGTGATTGTCATCCAGAGTGGATGAATAGTGGTTTGAATAGTCACTTCACACAATAGATCAATGGTGCTCTTCTTATAGTCACTAATTTTTTTTAGGTTAATAAAGCCAAAATTTTGGCTAAAGTTAAATAGAATGATAAGGAAGCTCCTTTCTTTACTTTTCTCTTCTAAAGGAAAAAAAGCTCTAAAAATTACATGTGATCATTGTAGAAAACTTGGAAATTTTCAGAAAATTATAGCAAAGGGTATAAAATTATACATAATTCTAACATACTGCAGTAAACAAATACTTTATATTTTCATGTATGCCTTTCCCATCTTTTTCTATTGCTCTATATACATATATCTTAACATAGTTAGGATTATACATTATATATACAGTTCTGCATGTTTTTAAAATGTATGTCATAAGAATTTTCCTGTGTCAGTGAATATTTTTCATAAATATTACTTTAGCCTGTATAATATTTTATCATAAGGATACATCATTGTTTAAATTTATGTATTGTTAAACTTTTGACTTCTTTCCATTTCTCACTAATGTAAGCAACTCTGAAATAGGCATGTACAGAAAGATTTATCCATTTTCTTAAGATAGATTTCTAGAAGTGAAATTACTGGGTCAATGACTATGACTGTTTAAGAATTTACTTTTTAAAGAAAATCATCTTTGGATTGTTAAAGGATTAATGACACATCAACTTGAACACATCTTTGATGACTGTGTAGCTACTCATATTCAAATAATCCCTGGAAGCATTGCTATTAATTGAATCTTAATCTTTCATTTCAGACACTAGGATGCATCTCTTCCTCCTGTCGCCTATTCCTTGGGATAGAAATCAGGAGATCTGACTGAGCCCTTATACAAGCCTTGTCAGACAAGTACCTATGTCCATCTTGTTTAGGACTACCTGTTTAACCCACTGTACTTAACATCCATATTTTCCTTCTTTTCTCTTACAGATGGAATGGGGCGAGTCCTTGCTCAAGATGTATATGCAAAAGACAACCTACCCCCGTTCCCAGCATCAGTAAAAGATGGCTATGCTGTCCGAGGTAAATATTTTGGTTTTCTTGAGTATCAACATACTCACATTGTAATTTTTTTTTTTTTTTTTCAGATTTTTGGCCCAGCCCAGGTACCTAATGACTATTACATCTATTTCCCCCTTGGCTGTCAAAATAATTTTATTCACAGATTACAATGTTAACCTACACCTATATATTTTCCAGCACAATCTTGATTAAAACTTTTCAGTGACAGTACTATAGTTACTTGAAAATTCTTACTTACAAATAAATATGTAGAGGTTGATAAAGACACTGTATCATGATTTATTCTTTCGGCCTCTACACATACCAGATGGCAGACAGTCTTGGTCTGGAAGTCCAAATGTTTTCTAGTTGAAAACATCTATATGGTCCAAGAAAGAAGAGCAAACTCCCAACACAGGGATAAAGTGGGGAAGTTTTTTTCTCCTGCTTTAAAGTCAAACATCAATAAGGGCTTCATAGAAAGCAAGCATGAGGGAAACCTCTAATTCCCTAGAAGATGCCATATTGCAAGGCTCTGAAGCCCCAGATGGTACCAGCAGCTCATGCCTTTAGAGTTGCCTGGGATTGCATGAAGCTCAAAAGCAAATACTAAATAGCATTTGCCTGCCTAAAGTCCAATCTACGAAAGAGCCCAAAATGAAAATGCAACTGAATTGCTTAGAAACTGTTATTGGTTATTAACTCAAGGCTGGTATCATTGAAGAAATGTCTAAAAACATTTCCCAGTTTATCAGAGCTGTTAAGAAGGCCAATTCCTTTTTAATGGTCATTTATGGAGTCCCATACTTGATTTTTTGGTTTTGGATTTTTTTTACTCTATCTAGCTATTAAAATAATTTCTTCTTTCTTGTAATTAAATACATTCATTGACCTCCTCCATGTTCCATTGCCATATCTTAGCAGTATCTTTCTCTGTTGGAGACAGTAGAACAAATGGTTAAGATTATGGACTTTGAGTGATAAAAAAGTGAGCGCTAACAAAGTAAGAGTGATCTGGGTTCTAGCACCAGTTCCATCTATGTAAGTTTGAGCAAATCACTTAAACTTTTTGAGCCTTGGTTTCCTCATCTATAAAATGATGATAATTATAACAGTATTTATCCCAACAGGTTATTGTGAGAATTAAGTGAGACTGTATAAGGCCTTAAAGTATATGGCAAACACACACACACCAAAAAAGCACTCAGTAGTTGTTTTTTTAATGTTTAATAATAGTACCTATTATTACTATTATTATTACTTTTTTATTTTTTTTATTATTATCACATTTTCTTAAACCATCTCTGAAAAAAGGATAACATTTATCTAAACTGTTATTCTCATAAAATGGTGGAGAGATTAATTCCTACTAGTGTATTCTTTCTCAGGAAACTGTCTTAAATGCACCTCATTCAGCTCTATCTCTCAAATTAGAGCATTTCTGAAAATATAAATAACAAATCCCCAATGCCTCCTATGTTTTCTCTTCCAAATTCATTTCTTCTGTAGTGTTTATTATAATGAATATTATCCAGAAAGAAATTTATTTTAGTCTTCTGATAGCCTCACTGGCTCTTGTTTCTTATTCCCTCTAAAATGTAAATTCTGTTTGAACTTATAATTGGTAGCCATTGCTATGAAATGATGAATTCTTACTTCCAGAGTAGAACAAACAACTACAGCAGATGAAACACCAAAAGGACAAGAAAGTCTATTTTTTATATTCTCGGTAATGTAAAGTAAGAGAAAGTGAGAAAATAAATTATATTAGGCAGAATTATTCTGAAACAGAAAGTTGTTCTGTGATTTTTAGATGAGGTAGCAGCAGCTCAATAAAAAGAAACTATTGCTTTTAGCTTTTCTAGTTAGCCCATGTGAGCCAGGAAAGAGCCTTTCTGCAACTGTAGAATCTATCAAAGAAATTTATATATAAAATTACCATTTAGTATATCATATTTATTTTGTTTTAGAGTGGTGGTGTTTTTAGTTATTTCACACACATATGCAAACACACACACACACACACACAAACATTTAAAATGACATCTCATGGTATAAAATGTTCAACAGATAATCCACCATGCAGCTAATTCACATTATTTCTTTCCTGTGAAACGTTGCTAGTTCTCTAAGATATGGAATGTATAACAGACATAACACATAACAGATAACCATCATGGATATGGTTAAATTTCAAAGTAGGAATGACTGGTTAATTATGATCAACATAATTAAGGCAGAAGAAGTCATCAGTGAACAAAAAGCCATGGTCTTAGTCTTTTCTGTGTTATAATACCAACCCCAGGCAGTGTTTTGGTAAAGAATATCCTTGAGGCTATTGTTGTGGCTCTCTACCTCTCTACTTTGTATACCTTCTTCTCTCCACCCCTTCTTCCTTTACTCCCACTCCTTTCTCCCCACTCCCTTTATTCTCCTTGTTTTTCTTCTCCTCTGCCTTTGCCTTAGGCCTTCCAGTAATAACCAGTGGCACCTGTGAGCATTGCTAACCCTCTAGGTGTAAAGAGGTTGCTAACTTGCTCTGGATCACTAAGCATTAGCCAGTGTCCTTCAGAAACATGTGGGATAAAACTCCAAACCAGTTGGAGGATCACTTGCTTTAAGGTATGTGGGTTGAAAAATCAAGACAGTAACAAATAGCTAAAGAAATAAGAAATAGGAACAGCTTTTAAAAAATAAGAAAGAATAGAGTATAAAGAAGATAGGAATCAAGTGATGATGATGTAAACTAATAAACCTAAAACTACATTCAGGAGGGAATGAATTTGAATGATGAAAGCAGGGAAAAGAAAATGAAAGTAGCATTTACCAGTTAGAAGCAATACAATAGTTTTATTCGTATTTTTGAGGAGTTATTTCTCCCTTCACACTGATTAAGCCAACAATCTTCTTGATGCATTCACATGCTCCTATAGAGATGTGGGTGCCCATTGTCTCACAATTGCTTCTTAGATGTTAATAAAGGTAACAATATCGCAGAATACCAAACTCACTCTCTTGAAAATGTTCAATTTGAAAGGCTTATCACTTCAGAATTAGTTTTGGGATTATTTAAGAAAAGGGAAAATTATAAACAAGCCAGTAATTATTTTGAGAACCATGTGCAACAAACAATTCTGGAAAATTATATTAAGAGAAATCCTTGCCATTTAGGTTAAGTAAATATTAAAGCTTTTTCTTTTATACATTCTGATTAAATACATGCTTATGGAAAATACAGAAAATCGAAAAGAACATTTTAACCCATTATCTCACTGTCTAGCTACTATTAACATTTTGTTGTACTTCCTTCCAGTGTGTTAAAATGCATACTAAAATTCGGTATAACCTTTTTGATTTTGTGCTAGTTCTTATTCTGTCACGAAAGTAATGTTTTAGAGTTTCTGTTTTGTCCATTTTAGTCCTGTTTGGCCATAGCTGGTTTTCCAACTCATTTGACAGCCAGTGGCTTTCCACTGTAGGACACTTTGGATGAAAAAGAAAGCCTTGTGATATAGGAGTATTACTCATGTGAGCAGAGAGATAATTTTGAATAATTAATTTAAGTTAATCCCCAAAAGCTTAAAATAATGTATTTAAGGAAATAATATATCTTTTCCCAATACTAACAATATATGGGCATTTTTCTCCTGGAAGATGATGGTAAAGAATATAAAATGCTTTCTCATTCATCTGTTCTACTCCTTGCTCCCTGCTTTCCAGGCAGCAGATTTAAAATTCCAAACAACTCACCTGATTTAATCCCTCAGTATAACTGCAGCAAGTATTAATCCTGTTGTGCTAGTCTTGTCACCTACCCTTGCCACCACTCCAAACTCGTTCTACAATGTTAATTTTAGTAATACACATAAATATCAATACTATTACCCTGTTGCCTATCATCCAGTCTTAGACGGTTTGGTTCTATAATTAGAGATAAACAGAATATTAGTCCCTCTGCCTTATTCCTCTATTGAAGAATAGAGGTGCCTAGGACCTCTGAAAGTTATGCTATCTATGGCCTCTGTTTATTCAGTCCTAACATGGAAACGATGAGGCTTTTGTTATTGAAAATAAGTGAATAGCTATAAAGGATTTCAAGAGATTTAAAGAGAGCTCCCACATGGCTGGAAAATGAAAATGAGGGATAATTCTAGGGCAAATGGCTTGAGGATGATCATTTTCTATACATTGCCACAATGAATAGTTATCTAATGGTATCAATTTTATATCAGATGATATAATCAGAAATCTTCAAATAAAGACTAAAAGTGTTTTCTGGACATTAAAAAGGTGGAAGTGGGAGCAGTCTCAGGGTCTAGCATTAAGCATTATACAGTGCATTTGCTGTTAGGATTTGGTTTATATTGCTTTTATCTCTTCCTTCAAATTAAATTCTACAGTTACAAAACAGAAAAGAAAACGTATTAATAGAAATGCCAGAATTAGTGGGGGAAAGAGAGGAAAGAGTCTAAGCCTTTACAGAAATCCTTGGAATCCATCCATCTTTTCTAATGGAGTACTGTGGCTTACTTAATTTCTTTCCAAGCTTTAGCTTCATCTGCCACTGTACCTCCACTTCTGCCCCCTCCCACCCAAGCTGGTAGAATTCATCTTGAAAATGGCAACTTTTCTTTTACCTGTCTCTTTAATAGATATTTTAAAATAAATATCGGTAAGTTAGGTAGATTGATCGTTACTTTTCTATCTTTATAATAAATAGTTAGCCTTGGTGTTGATGTAAAATCAGGACTTCTGTTGTAGTTCACTAATTTTTTATTTCTTAAGTTTTCTCTTAGTCTGAATTTGTCTGTATTCCGTTCAATCTTACAGTGCTCTGCTCCTCAGAAAGGGTAGTCCATGAACCAGCTGCATAAGCATCAGCTTGTTAGAAATGTAGAACCTCAGGGCCTGTCCCAGACCTACTGAATCAGAATCTGTATTTTAAGATCTCCAGGTGATTTCTATGCACATTAAGAGTTGAGAAGCACTGTTATAAGGGAAATGGTAAAAATGACTCCTCAGTTGGTACCAGGGACTTTCTATAATGTTGGTTGACTGAGCCTTCCTTAGCTAGCATGTTTCCCAGGTGGAAATTTTCAGGGCAAAGTGGAGAACATAGTTAAAGTGAGATATATTCTCTCCCCAGTCAGTGTACCTTCCTTGGCAACAAAGCATCTTGCTTCTTAGAATCACTTAAAGTCTCTTTCAGTTGTTGGCCTCCCTGACACTCTATATCAACCTTGCCCTGGATTATCTCTAGCCACTCATTATATAATGACATCTGTTTGGAGCATTTGTGCAGAACACTGATATGAGCATTTTGAGTGCATGTATATTTGCATGTGTGGGGAACAGGAGACAAGAGGAAGACTGAAGAGCAGAGAGTTTCAAAAAAGAAATAAAGGAAGTGATCCCTACCTACCACACATTTATAAAATTATTTAAGAAAATTTACAAAGCACAATACTAATGCATACAAGACAGTTTACAAACTTCCCACCTAAGTATTATGGAAGTGCCAAATTCATTTCTTTGTTTTATCAAATATTTACTGAGCATCAGTGATGAACTAGGCACTATGCTAGACATAATCTAAGTTATATAGAATTAAGCAGAGCAGTCTTTCTGAACATTCTAAAGACAGTGAATGTTGACTCGTATTTTGAAGAAAACAATATACACGAACCAGCAGAAAATGGAAGGCATTCAAAATACAGCATTTTGCAGTGGAAAATATTATTTATTGTTCATTCATGCATGCATCTTTCTACAAAGATTCTTAGGAGCCACACTCATTCGTTTCTTGAACTTTCGAATACTTCGTATATTGAACATTTATTGAATACCTATTATTCAGCAGGTACTAGGAATTTCCCTGAGACAAATAAGCAAATGGTTACAAATACATTAGGAAGCCATAATTAGAGTTATTTCAGGAATACACTGTGGAAGCAAAAGAAGAAGTAGGTGACTCTTGAGGGAAAGGAAGTCAGATATGACTTCCTAGAGAAGGTGACACTTGAGCTGAGTCTTAAAAGCTAAGAAGTCTTTAACCAGAAGGCAGGGAGAAGAAAAGAACACTCCAAGCAGTGAGAGTAGCATATGTTATGGAGCTGAAATATGAGTCATCTTGGTATTCTTAGGTAGGGAGGACGTGAACCAGAGCCTTTACACATACTGTTTTCTTTAGGTGAATATCTATAGATGAAGCATTTTCATTTCCTCTCTGTCTCTCTCCCTCTCTCCCCATCTCTCCCTCTCCTTTTCCCTCTCCCTCTCCCCCATCCCCACATATTTTTGCCTACTTAGCTCTTCCTCATCCTTCATATTCAAATCATAAATGCTTTTATCAGGGTGGCTTTCCCTGACCCTCCAGTGTAGTTCAGGTACTTTCAGTGTATGCTCTCATAAAACCGTGTTCCTTTCCTTTAGAATGGTTTTCTTAATTTGTATTTATATACAAATTTATATGTTCGTTAATGTGACTATTTGATTAATATCTATCCCCCTCACTACATCGGTGGCTTTAAGAGTTTTGTTTTCACCACACCCATAGAAAGACACACATTAATACATTAGACATCACAAACCAATGATATACACATACATATATAACATATACAATGCATATAAATATATATGCATGCATATATATAAACAAAAATAAGTTTCTTGACACAATTTTCACCTTTACCATGTGTGACGAGATATATTTTCTGTTCTTCTTTACAAGATGATTTTACAGCCCACCTCTATTTGTGATCTAGAGTTTGAAAAACATTGCAACAGACTGACACTGCATTAGAATAGAAACAATATCTAGTTTTACTCTCTACTCTGTCCCAGCATCTAATATAACACTAAGAGCACAGAAGACCTCAGTAGAAATTTAGTGAATGAATGAAAGGAATAAAAAGCCTTAAAAGGTATTATTTTTAAAGTATGGTTATTCCCATTTTTATCAACAAACAAACTGAAGGTTAGAGAAAGTTTTAATAATTTGCTGAAAGTCCTGAGGCTAATAATAGGCAGAACCAGGATTCAGAGTCAGCTTTTACTCTAAAACCATGCTAATTTTCCCTTGAGCAAGAAGTAAAAAGAGAAAACAACTAGGTTGCTTATAGGAGGTGGAAAGCTGGTAATATCTCTAGCAGAGAAACAATCAAAACTAAGTTTATCCAGTTTTGAGATGCAGTTAGTGCAGAACTCTGAAAGATAATTGACTTTTTAATTTTCTACAGTAAGAAAATTACGATTAACTTTAAAATACTGCAAAAATAAGTGTGGGGACAGATGAAACACAATTGGTAAAATGTTGATAATTGTTGAAGCAGTGATTTCTATGTCTGTTTTAAATTGTTTCATTAAAAAAAAAAAAGAGGAAAGAAAAAAGAACTCATGAAACAGCATAAGAATTCCATTGCAGGAAAACTACAGTATTCTCTTTCTTACAAGTGAACACTGAAAATACAATAGCATTCCAAAAAAACACCAGAAAGCCAAGAGTTTATTAACTGAGACAATGTCTAAAAAGCACAAGATACAACATCTAGTAAGTAGAAGACACCCAATGTTAATTTTTGTTCCTCTTCACATCAGATTAACCAAAGCCAGCTGTGCAAAATAGTGACTTATAAACGGTATTGTATATATAAGGCTTCAGAAAAAGTACTACTTTGTAGTCACATAAAGAAACAATAAATTTTTAAAAAAATAAATGTAATCAGGCTACATGGATTCTCTTATATCTGGCTTGCTTTCTTTCTTTTTTAAGTTAATTTATTTATTTATTTATTTTTGGCTGCTTTGGGTCTTTGTTGCTGTGCGCGGGCTTTTCTCTAGTTGCAACGAGCAGGGGCTACTCTTCCTTGCGGTGCATAGGCTCCTCATTGCAGTGGCTTCTCTTGTTGCCGAGCACAGGCTCTAGGCGCACGGGCTTCAGTAGTTGTGGCTCGCGGGCTTCAGTAGTTGTGGCTCACGGGCTCCAGAGAACAGACTCAGTAGTTATGGCGCACTGGGCTTAGCCACTCCACGGTATGTGGGCTCTTCCTGGACCAGGGCTCGAACCTGCATCCCCTACATTGGCAGGTGGATTCTTAACCATTGAGCCACCAAGGAAGTCCAAGAAACAATAAATTTTATATATCCTCTCTAAAAGAGGGAAAATACTTTTTTATTATTTATCAACATGACTGCAAATGTGATTAAAATATTCATATAAATAGTGTTATCTTTGCTGTGTATGTGCCCCCAAACCCTTGCTGTATGCCGATTACAAGGAGATAATGGTCATGATCATGAAACTCATTAGGTATACATTGCCTTGCCAATAGTATTGGTCTGAAATCCAATTGTATGTGAAGAAAACCCTTTTGAATACATTTATCTCCAGGAATATTTTTTCATCCAGCCATTACTATACTGTATATAGAAAAAAATTGGATGAGAAGTTTTTTCTGTCTCAAGTCTGAAAGTGTTTCTTCCAATTTAAAAATAAACAGTCAATGGGAATTGTGATGCAGCACTGCCTGTGTATTTTGATTTAGAAACAGAATTTTGATCCATCATAAAAAAAAATACTGTATTGGAAATTCAGGGACTGGGGTTTTAGTCCTAGCTCTACCACTAGCCAGAACTTGTTAAAGGTACTGAAGGTTTTCTACCTGAGTTTCTTCATTCTGTAACTCATTTCCTTCAAGTGTCAAATGAAGAAAAGAATATATGTTCTTCCTACTTCACTTGCTACTTCATACATATGACTCCATGAGTGTGTACACACATATAACACATACATACCCATTTATTTAGGACGATAGGCTGAAAGAACTTCCTATTAAAAAGTGCAAGAGTGGAAATTATGGAGCAACAAGAAAACTATCTCCAGAGACACCAAGAAAAGGCACAATCTGGACCACTTCTGTAGGTTCTTGTGAGTCGTGGATACCGAAGATCAAACTAGTAATAACAAAGCCCTTTTCTAAACTAGATCAGAAAAATATTCCACTTTCCTGAAGCCTTATCTGATCATTTGAGTCAAGTTTTAGAATTCCAACACTAGGTTCTTATTCTTTGCTATAGGTCCATTCTGATGATTGTTCTTGGTTCTGTTCATCTCACAGCTGCCGATGGCCCAGGAGATCGTTTCATCATTGGGGAATCCCAAGCTGGTGAACAGGTGAGATTCATAAGCCTGAAAGGCCCTAAAGATTTTAGTTTCATGGACTTTGGGCTTCTAATTCTAGACTTCTGCCATTGTTGTAATGGAAATCTTAGAGAAGGATTAGACAGGTTATCAAAGAGATGAAAGGATGGTTCCCATGAGAAAGAACCAAATGAATTATTTCTTAACTGAAAGAATCTGCATCTATTAATATACAGCATAATGTTACTGGTATGTCTCAGATGACATGCCCCACAAGCATTTTCCAGCCCTGTGCTTGGATGAATCTTTCTTCTGGTATAAACATTAATGTTTGAATAGAGCTACAATTTCTAAGTGGTCTTTGCAGAGTTTTCCCCAACTCGTGTTACATACAGGGAAATTTAGAAGAAGCAGATTATTTAATCTTTCTAGCTAATCATTTTGATTAATTTTTCTCATCAGGGAGCTAACCAGAGAACAGGTATTTCTTAATAGAAACAAAGCACTAATGGGCCATGGTGGAAGTACAACAGAAGTCCTCTTAATTAATGCTTTGGATACCAGTAATTGGTCATTTAATTGGAAATAAGTTACAAGTGGGAAATTATCTTTTACTTTTAAAATAAATATAAATGTAACTTAAATAAATGAACATTTATTTGTCAGTAATTTGATGGAGAGCTAAGGGTTTTTTTGTTTTGTTTTGTTTTTGCGGTATGCGGGCCTCTCACTGTTGTGGCCTCTCCCGTTGTGGAGCACAGGCTCCGGACACGCAGGCTCAGTGGCCATGGCTCACGGGCCTAGCCGCTCCATGGCATGTGGGATCTTCCCGGACTGGGGCACGAACCCGTGTCCCCTGCATCGGCAGGTGGACTCTCAACCACTGCGCCACCAAGGAAGCCCTAAGGCTTTTCTTTTAATAAGTATCTGCTATTTGAACTTCTCTTATACCCAAAGACATTATATGTGATTTCAAGTTTTAGTTTCTTTAAAGTGGAAAAAATTTAAGGCCTTTGCAAAGTATCTAAGTATAGAATCCTTCTAGATTTTTATTATATTTTTATAATTTTTTTTACAGTTGCTTCACCCATACCTAATTTGACATCAGTTCATTTTAGCAGCCTTTTTTAAATGAGATTTTCCAAAGGTTTAACTTAATTTTTATAGGAAAAAAATAACTCCTTTTACACTCATATATCATTGGTTTATGTAATATTTATTTAAATAACTTAATTCAGTAGCAACTATTGCCACAAACTGGTACAAACAAGTTTGGGAGCAAACTCAGTTGCATCTTAGGTGTACAAGGGAAGAGTCTAACAGTTTCAAACAAAGTGTGCGGTAGGCATCATTACGTTCAATAGGAAATAGAGAGCATATGTTAATCCAGTGAGTTTTGAAAGTTGGTTAAAAGAGCACCTTCCTTATTGACTAGAGGCAAAGGGAAAACCAACGCACTTTTCTCTTCTGCTACCACCAAACACTCATAAGGATTATATAAAAATAAAGGAGGGGGGCTTCCCTGGTGGCGCAGTGGTTGAGAGTCCGCCTGCTGATGCAGCGGACGCGGGTTCGTGACCCGGTCCGGGAAGATCCCACATGCTGCGGAGCGGCTGGGCCCGTGAGCCATGGCCGCTGAGCCTGCGCGTCCGGAGCCTGTGCTCTGCAACGGGAGAGGCCACAACAGTGAGAGGCCCGCGTACTGCAAAAAATAAATAAATAAATAAAATAAAGGAGGAAATAAATAAATAAATAAATAGGGCAGTTTGAGCAAAAGCTATATCCCACGCCTTAGCATGTACTCCCATATGTGCTAAAAATAGAGAGGGGTTGAGGAAGTATATAGGAGAAGGATGGTGCCAATGGTGGTAACCCTAGCTGCCTCACCTCTACATCCAAGCATTGAGGAGTACTGTGTACAGGTCTCTGAAGCTAAGCCTGGCACTGTAGTAATTAGATCCTTGTCCATGCTGTGCACAGTCTGGTTTTGCTCTTCATGACTGTTTTCCTGACAAAAAGAACTAGACCTAGGTTGCTTTTTTATAAATAACTTGCATTATGACCTCATAACTTACTTGACCTCTTGGTATGTGTATCCATCAGCAATGGACATACAAAGCATGCATTTTTTTTAACAAAGCCCCAAAATATCAATTATTCAAGGAGTACTTCTCTGATCTTCAACTGAGTCTATCCAGTATTTATCAAACATACCTACTCTTTGTACCAAGAAGCACTGTGCTGGGTTCTAGGAATATAAAATAAATTAATACATGATTACTACTCTTAACAGTTTACATATAGTGGAGGAGACAGAGTATAAACAACTAAATATAATACAATATATTAAGTGTTAAACTAATGCTCTCAGTCGTGTGCTATGGAGCACAATAAATAGAGAGGTTGAGCATTTTGTCCTAGAAGGGCTAGGCAGATGACATTGGAGCTGGGCCTAAGAGAGTTTTACAAAAACAGAAACAGAAATGAAAAAGGAACATTCCAAGCAGAAAGAACAGTATAAGTCAAGACCCAGTAGTGTTTGAAAAATTGCATGGTATTAGGAAATTGCAAGTAGTTTGTGGTAGTTACAGCCTAGAATACTTAGGCATAGGTAACAGATTGTTAAGAGCCTTATGGACCCTTAAACTTTATTTACTAGTTAAGACTTCCAACTGATAACAAGGAGCACAAGAAAAGTTGTGAAATTAAAAAACTGCCAACTTCTTGTAAGTTCTCATAAAATTTTGATGGGAAAAAAGATCAAAACTATAAAAGAAAACAGGGTTTTTCCTCAAGTTACCTGTGATGTACTTTATCTATAACTGATGTATCATACACATACACTCTTTACAGCAATCTCAGGGATCTTGCAAGAGTCAAATTGCTCACTTATTGAAAGTAAATACACTTGAGCACGAGGGGACCATTGCATACACTGAGACAGTTATTTACAACATGGTTTATTGGTGTACCAAAATACTTAATCTTAAATCACTTATAGTTTGGTCCTATTGGTTAGCATTGGACACTTTCAGTTTCAGGTGTGTAATTGTGAAGTGCTATCATTGGACAAAGTTCAAAAAATCCAATTCAATATCTCTATTAAGGAAAAGTCAAGATTTTTATAGTTTTTACTTTATATAAGGTATATAAGGCACCTATATCAATAAAAATAAAAAAAGAGTTGGTAGTCTTAACAATCTAAAGGAAGTACTTCATTTATTGCTAGAGTTTTTCCAGTTGATTCAATTCAATTGCAGTTTATATGTCTACTCTAAGCAGATATATAAATGTCTTTATATATCCAGTAATATCTTTTACATTAGATTTAATATAAGTGAGCTGGTGGGAATCCTTCACCTACCATTTAGAATTACTGGTTTTGGAGAGGAGCCAAATTTTTTATTTAGCAGCCACACAGAAACACTTCTTTAAAGTTGGTTTAAGCCAAGAAGTAGAGAAAATTACAGGTATAGCCACAGTAAAGCTTAAAGTAAATTTACATAATATGGTACATTGAATCAGACTAAATTGAGGGAGGACTCCAGGCTAACACACTTCAGCTTAAGAAGCAACTACCCTGAAACTCACTTTGGGAATCACTTTCTGCCTTAGCCAAAAAGGCACTTTCAGGGGAAAAAAAGGACTTCTTTGGACCTACATTAAATATTTTTATTGCACAGTATCAGAAGATAGTTTTGACATTAGCACCTCTACTAAAAAACACATATAACAAAACATTAATGCTTTTCATCAAAAATCACTGCACTGCAAAATGGTCATGTTTAGTGAATTAAGAGATGCACCAGATAATAAGTAGTATCTGGGGTTGAAAAAAAATTAATGCATTGAGGACTTCCCCAGGAGCGCAGTGCTAAAGAATCCACCTGCCAATGCAGGGGACACGGGTTCGAGCCCTGGTCCAGGGAGATCCCACATGCCGCAGAGCAACTAAGCCCGTGCCCCGAACGACTGAGCCTGCACTCTAGAGCCCACTAGCCACAACTGCTGAGCCCGCGTGCTGCAACTACTGAAGCCTACGTGCCTAGAGCCCGTGCTCCACAACAAGAGAGCCACTGCAATGAGAAGCCCACGCACAGCAACAAAGACGCAATGCAGCCAAAACTAAAAATTAAAAAAAAAAAATGCATTGAGCCCTAAGCTTTTTTTTTTCATTCTATACATTATCTTGGTAGAAAATTACATTAGAATGTAACAATTCCAAATAAGCCTGGAATGTGTTTTTTTTTTTTTCTTGCGGTACGCGGGCCTCTCACTGTCGCGGCTTCTCCCATTGCGGAGCACAGGCTCCGGACGCGCAGGCTCAGTGGCCATGGCTCACGGGCCCAGGCACTCTGTGGCATGTGGGACCTTCCCGGACTGGGGCACGAACCCGTGTCCCCTGCATCGGCAGGCGGACTCTCAACCACTGCACCACCAGGGAAGCCCTGAAATGTCTGTTATTCAAATAACATTATAAGGGGATATAAAGTATGTAGTTCAATGCCAGATTTGTTCCCAAGAACCTTTCTCCAGTGACTTGTGGGAAAAAAATCAGTGAGAACACCGGAGTTGTAAGCCAAGAAGGATTACATGGTTCATGTAGTTGTTGTGGTAATGAGACCATGCATACTTATTCATTCATTCTGCAAATATTTATTGACTACCAACTTTGTGCCAGACACTTTCTAGGCTTTGGGATGATAGAGCAATAAATATGTCTGGAAAGAGGGTGATTAAAGATTAATGAAATGACTCTATCCAAGATATAGACAGGATTAAGGGAAATTAACAAAGGAATGTGAAGCACTCAGGTACTAGCAACAGTGAGATTTCATTACCTCCTCTAGGTTTGAAGGGGCAAAGGGAGAGAGTAGTACCTAGACCTGGGAGATTGATAGCTATGGGAGAGGTCCACCTAATAGGAGCTGTGGCATCAGTAGTAGAAATGGCATACCCATCACCAAACTGCAGCCCAGCAGGGAAAGGGCAAGGGGAATAAAAATTGTACTTCTCTCTCTCTCCTACTCTCTGATCTCTTGTCGGCCCCTCCCATTGGCTGAACCTAACCAGAAGCCAGAGTGATGGGAACCTGGTTGAAATAGTCCATAGAGGTTGGCCTTATGGGCCACAGCACAGGAAAATTACGATGTGATCTAGAGAAGCAAACAGAAAATGAAAATTTCTGTCTTTATAAGGCTTATATTCTGGAATATAATACTACACCTAACACTGCCTAGCATAGATTGAGTATTCAGTAAATATTAGCTATTGATGGTATTGTTTACAGCAATAACATTATGGAAATAAGCTTTTTAAGGCTTTTCTAACAAATAAATTTCCAGTTTTACTTTTGTTTGTTTGTTTGTTTTTGTTTTTGTTTTTTTTGTTTTTGTTTTTTTTGCGGTACGCGGGCCTCTCACTGCCGTGGCCTCTCCCGTTGCGGAGCACAGGCTCCGCACACGCAGGCCCAGCGGCCATGGCTCACGGGCCCCGCCGCTCCGTGGCACGTGGGATCCTCCCGGACCGGGGCACGAACCCGTGCCCCCTGCATCGGCAGGCGGACCCTCAACCACTGCGCCACCAGGGAAGCCCTCCAGTTTTACTTTGATTGTACATCTAGTGGAAGGGTATTTTTCCTTAATCATTCCCTAATTTTTTTTAATGTGGTAAAAAATGTATAACATAAAAAGTACCACCTTAACCATTTTTAAGTGTACAGTTCAGTAGTGTTAAGAATATTTACATGTTGTAACCTAAAATTTTAAATACCTAAGAAGCAGATGTCTTTGGAAAGATATCATTTTTTGGGGGGAATTAATGTTATCTCAGAATTTTCTTTTTGGGGAAATTTAAAGCATTCCTTTTCCCAAATCTGACCTAAATCATGGCCCATGACAAGTGACTCTTCTGAGGCCAGATCAAACCTGTTAGATGGAGCTGACAGAAATATGATTTTCCCTGTGCTGGGAGGAAGTGTGCAATGTAGGTCCTGTAGTCAGTCTCCTATACCATTCATATGAGAGCTCAAACAATAAAAATCTTGGATATAATATTTAACCCAAACCATTACAGACACTGGAATCATTTTTAAATGATTTATTTACATTTGTTAGACTTTTATTATTAGTTGCAAGGTGAACTAATATATCTTATAAAGATTTTCAAGAGTAATAATTAAAATAATTTTTCTGGCTTGCCTTTATTTAACTAAAATGTTGGTTAATAAAATACTACATTTCTCAAACATCAGAACTTCAGTAAATGATCAACATGATGGTTTTTCATAATTGTCATTCATAAAATCATATTGCATGGTATTTTTTTAAAGACTGTAAAATCACTTTACATATATTAAGAAAATTCACAATGAGTGAGAGACAGCAGTGGCAAATATAAGTGGTAGTTCTTCAAAAGGAAAGCAGGTCACCAAGAAAGACGTCTAATTAAGTCATTACTTAAGTCAAATGAAAGCCTCTTTGGTGTAAGTATATTTGTTTGTGACTTTTATTACATTTTCCCAAAATGAATAAGACTGTAAGATTTTCCTTTTATGGTTTGTTTCAAAAACTGTCACATCTCCTGCAGACTTTTCCTTTGCTGCAGTAAAGTAAATCGACTCTTTCTTGCATGTTTGTATTTCCAGCCGACTCAGACAGTAATGCCAGGACAAGTCATGCGGGTTACAACAGGTGCTCCAATCCCCTGTGGTGCTGATGCAGTAGTACAAGTGGAAGATACTGAACTGATCAGGGAATCTGATGATGTATGTCATTACCAGGTCTTATGGCTCCATTCCTATGGCGGTATTATATATAAGTCATGCCTATTTTCTGCAATGTTTATGAGATTAGTCCAATTTTTTTGGTTATGTTAGAACCTTACATTGTAGTGTATAGTAAATAAGGAGCTGCCTTAGGCTTGAAAACCTTTTGTTATAGTAGATGTTTTTATGATCAGAATTTGAGCCACATTTGAGCCAAGAAATTTCATATGCAAGCAAGGAAAGAAACTACCTCAAGATAGAAGAGCAGAGATATTAACTGTTGACTTATCATCTAGCTGAGAAACTTGTTCATAAAGACTAGCTTCTGATAAAATGTGAAGGAGATTTTAATAGAGAAGAATTTAACAAAGAACACTTGGGCAAGTTCTTGAATATTACACTAAGCCAAGCATTTAAACCAAATGACCCTTTCAGCTCTGGTTTTCTATAATTCAGGAAAATCTGTGCCGCCAAATTACAGTCTGGAAACATTTAATTTATGTCAGTTCCCCCTCTATTGCCTAAAATAAAGGACTCTGTTCTAAGTAGGCCTTTATCTCACTGAAACTAGTGGCAGTTACTGAAACCAGAGGATCAGTCACTAATAAAAGAATAATTTCAACTGATGTTTTAATGACTGGCTATCTTACTTGTTTTGAGAAGTTTAAGATATCTTGTATTTTTAAAGTTAGAATTAATAACAAATATATATTCTCCTCGGCTGGGTATATAGTAAAATTTGGCCATGCTGAGACACACCCTCTTTTCTTGATTTGGGGATTTTCTCTTTAATCACCTTCCCACAAGTAAGTCTTATAAAATTTAACTCTTGGCACACAGATCACATTGCCCTGCTGTTAAAACTGTCCAAAAGATTTATTGGCATCAGTGAAGCCAGCAGAGCATTGAAATCCAGAACACATGCCTCCACAGACTCTGCCAGATGACAAGACACAGTTCCAGTGTCACAATGTTATTCACAGTCCATAAATGTAAAAATGATGGTCACCATTAATTTATAGAAATCTACTACCAGATAAGCTATAAGTCCTTCACTGAAATTTCTGCAAATATTTCAGAAATACCTGCAGGTATATATGCAAGGAACCTTGGCATAGTATTGAACCCATGATTTAGAAGAGACAGGTTATCTCCATGCACATTCACTGTATCTATTAGGGTAGCCATCTTTTTTTTTTTTTCCCTAAAGAATGCTGCTTACAAAGTAAGAGTCAGTATTTGAATTGGTACATTTTTTAAAAGCATGAGAATCAGTGAAAATGTTTGTTTGTTTATTTATTCATTCATTCATTCCTTGGCATCAAACCTGATTTTTCAGGAACCTGTGGTAGAAATTCATCATGTTCAAAGGGTTTAGCAAAGGCTTTTCTGTTCCTCTATATTTTTATATATTCTGGGCCTATCTGATGATGAAAGCATCTGAGTAGCTAAATTCTATTGATCAAAATTCAGTTAGATTGTTCTGTTTGAAATTACATGATTTACTCTTATTATAGGGCACTGAGGAGCTTGAAGTACGAATTCTGGTGCAAGCTCGGCCAGGCCAAGATATCAGGTAAGTTCATAACATATAGAATGTATAGCCAACTTTTGTTTCTGCCATGATCATGAACTCAGGAGAGCATGGCTATTATAAATTCACAGCTCAATCAGTTAACCATTAGCTTTCAGGGCTTTTAACAAGTAACAAAATTAATTTTCTGAATTCTGTATCCCATGTCTGCCCTCCCTACTTTTTTGTAAAGTTGGTAAAGGCAAATGAAATATTCAAAAGCAACATGAGAAGGAGGCAAAGTCATGAGCCTGCATAATCCACAGTTAATCCTCCTCCTAGATAATCCAGAATTACCCATCCCTACCCCTTGGTAATCCAGAATTTGATATTAACACAGATACTTTCAGAGTTGAGTATTTATATAATTAGCTGAAAGCCCCTCCTCTATTGACTGCCAGTAATAATGGAATAATGTACTACTGTTTATATACAAAGATGAGACTACTGTCTTACCATAAGTAGTGTATATTTGTCAAATGATTTTTCTTACAATTGAATATGTTTGCCCTGATTCTATTAATGCTAATTTGCTCAACATTTTGTAACAAAGCTATACTTCTCCAGTTCCTGTGGCGGCAGGCCAAGAGTGAAGGGACCTATACAGCCACAGAACTGGACCAACATAAGTGGTCTAAATGGAAATTATCTCCATGACTGTAACCTCATTAGTATTATTCTCCTCACCACAAAGCTAACAAGCTATGGACATGGCATTAGATATTTTCATATAAATGCTTGCCTTACATCAAAGAAAGATTGCAATTGGTGTTTTGGACTGTAATGTGATACAAAACAATTTATAAAATAACTTTCAAACATGAAGTAACATATTCCTGTTTAACAGCAATAGATACAAATCTATTTCTGTCTTCTGTTATGTGATTTAATTTTTTTAATTAAAAAAGCATAGAGTTTTTAGAATCTCTTCGTTTTAGTATTCTGGTCCTGCCTCATCTCTTCACTTTTTCCCCCTTGAGTGTCCTCCTTCTTTAACACTAAAGTTTCCCCTAAGTTGAGAAAATACTGTTCTTAGTCATACTGTTTATGGTTCTGCTTTGACTTTCAGACCCATTGGCCATGACATTAAAAGAGGGGAATGTGTTTTGGCCAAAGGAACCCACATGGGCCCCTCAGAGATTGGTCTTCTGGCAACTGTAGGTGTCACAGAGGTTGAAGTTAATAAGTTTCCAGTGGTTGCAGTCATGTCAACAGGGAATGAGGTAAGGAAAACAAGCAGAGGCAGGGGTGACAGCAGGGGAAAGATGGTGGGTAGTGGGGCTTTCAGATGAAAGTATTTCTGACATTCTGTGTTCTGTGTTATAAATAGAACATTAAGGATTATAGATCTTACCACATTTCTATAACAAGGAAATAATAAATTGGCCTCAGGATAGTTCAAGTACAGAAAATGAAAAGGAAGAACTAGAAATTACATATTAAGAAATGTTCCCTTCCATTTACTAAAATGAAATATTACAACCAATGACCTTCCACACACTCAGTACATATAAACAAAGAATGTTGACTGCTAGCTGTAGATACTCAACTGTGCAAACCCAGTACTTAAGTCTGCTGGGACAATCAATTGTTCATACCCTGCTGCTGAGATGATGGGCCACCTCTGTGTGGGAAATAATTCAACGAACTGGGACACCATGGCTAGCCCCTTTTCTTGCTAAACATTCCATGTGATCTTTAATCACCAGGAAGGATTTGAAAAATCAGGATTTTTTTTTTTTCTCTAAAGATAGCATCTCTAGTAGCATGCTATTCAGAATGTGTCAAAATGTCATTTCAGCCCTGATTTAGGAAGGGGAATTTAGTCAGTCTTTTTATGAGAACTCTTGAAAAACTTCCTGTTCCCTGTTTGCTTAAGTTATACAAAACTTCAATTGGAAGCTGTAAGGTCAAACTGGGAATATTGAAAAGTGAATCCGCTGGAAATTCAAAGCCTAAAAGCAGAATCAAACTATTGAGATTTTTTTAAGTAATTCCTTTAGATCTTATACTATTTTTAAACAGGTTAACAGGATTTTGTTCTTTTTTTTCTCTTTTAACCTCTAAAAAGAGGTTGCTAACATTATTTTTAATTTCCTAGAGTCTTGGAGATGGACGTTTTCAAGGGTCTATTACCCTTATAGTTCTTTTGGAAAGGGCAAAAGAAAAGAATGTTTTGTTTTGCTAATGGAGAGGTAAATCAGAATTCTAGATTTGCTTACTTCCCAGTATAGGTGTACTAGTCATTCCCAAAAACTATTGACTGACCCAAAATAAACATTCTTTTTAATTGATCTACAAAGTGATGATTCTAATATCCCTAGGACAAACTGACCCTATGTTTAGCATCAGAAAGAAATTTCTGTTAAACTGGTTGACTTAATGATCTATTCTCATTTGAGATTTATTTATATGCTTTGTGCATCTAAGTGACTTCATGGGGTTTAGGAAAGCTAAGTACAATGAGCAAACTAATAGACAACTAGTTATTAGGCAACTTTGTTTAAGCTACATTTATTGTGTTCTTCCTAATGACTTTGTAGGCCTAGATTAATATTCTCAGTTATCCCCCAGAGTACATTGGTAGTATTTTTTAAGCTATCTTTTTTTTTTTTTGCGGTACATGGGCCTCTCACTGCTGTGGCCTCTCCCGTTGCAGAGCACAGGCTCCGGACACGCAGGCTCAGCGGCCATGGCTCACGGGCCCAGCCGCTCCATGGCATGTGGGATCTTCCCAGACTGGGGCACGAACCTGTGTCCCCTGCATGGGCAGGCAGACTCTGAACCACTGCGCCACCAGGGAAGCCCCTAAGCTATCTTTTATACCCTTTATTAAAACTATTTACTAGTAGTTGGGGAAAGTGACAGGGTGAGAATAGAGATGGTACATACATGGTAGAATCTAAAGAAGATTTTGTAGTCCTAGTTCCCTGCCCCCATAGATTTGATTATCCTTAGAGAAGCTTTGACAGATTCCCCTACGTTTTTTGGCCTGCTGTACTTAACATGGTTTTCCAAGGGAATAATGCTTCTAAGTTCCATGGTCTCTGGTTCCATGTAGTTTGACATTCCTCCCTACTCCCATCCAAAGTTAGCTATTATTATGACTCTCTATCACCATATAGTTTAGTTCAACAAATGTTTGTTGAATACCTCTATGCCAGACACTATACTGGAAACTAGAGATAAAAGTGATAAATAATGCATAGTATCTCTCCTGAGGCTTGGGATCCTCAGATAGCCAGAAAATAATAAGGAAAAAAAAAAGTATTCATTTATTTCAGAAAGGCCAAAAGAAATTACATTTGTCTATGAATGTGACAAGTCTATAATTTATTCAGTCACAGCACAAGCTCCCCTTAAGTATTAGTTCTGATTTTCCCTGATATGTATGGCTTCACATACACCACCTCTTGAATCCAGTGTGGTATATTGCTAAGCAGAACAGTAGCCTTAGCCAACCCAGAGAATGCCATACAAGATGTCTATGTATACTGTATTTAAAGCCTGCTCTGTATTTTGTGACTACATGATCTTATTCAGGATGAAGGAATTCTTTTAGAATTGGGAAGGTAGAGTTCTAAATAATAACTAACACAGACCAGCTGTTGTAGTAGACATTTGTTGATTTCAACAAACTATGCAGGTTAAAATTAGGTAATAGAATACCATTCAATAATTACTTAATTGTGGTTGTACATTTCCAACCTCATGTATTTGTTCAATATATATTTATTAAGCATCTGTTACATGCTGGAATGCTCACCAGAGGTGCTCTTAACTAAACATCAGACTTAACAATATATGAATATACTGTACCTTGAACCAGCTTACTTAGAAAGATATTGAACAGGAAACTCAGCATCCAGCAGGGGAGCATCATGCTTTCTTCAGTGGGACCAGTCATCTTAGCAGTTCACACAGCCATCCAACAGCTGTTCTCTTTGTTCTTCAAGTGACATTTAAGTGCAAGGGAACAAGAATTCTACTAGGAGAGTATGGGAGCCAGCAACTTAGAAGCACCATCTCCTACATAGGAATCAATATTTCTTATAACAATCTTAGGCAACTTCCAGAGTCCCTACAAGGCATATGCCCAGCTTCAAGTGTCACCACATTCGTGGAAGCCCAAAGCTTGGCTTTCCACTAGGGATTTATAGGTCATCTGTAATTTCTTCCATTCCATATGCAAGTTACTAATCAGAGACCATTTTACCATAAGAAGTGTTGCCTACTAACAAGCTGAAATTTTTCTTTATCAAATTTCCAGAGGAACTGAGCTAGAAAGTTAACCCAAGTTCAAATTTGTCCTTAGAGATGGCAAAAGGGTTTTATTAAGGCTTTACCCTCACATAAAAGAATGCACTGTCTGCAGAAAATTCGAAAACAGTAATAAAACTAACTACAAGTCATTCTGTTCTTTATTATCACCATGCACTGGCAATCCTAAACAATGTCAGTGATAAAATACTCCTTTTCAGGGCTTCCCTGGTGGCGCAGTGCTTGAGAGTCCGCCTGCCGATGCAGGAGATGCGGGTTCGTGCTCCGTTTCGGGAAGATCCCACATGCCGCGGAGCGGCTGGGCCCGTGAGCCATGGCCACTGAGCCTGCGCGTCCGGAGCCTGTGCTCCGCAAATGGGAGAGGCCACGACAGTGAGAGGCCCGCATAACGCAAGAAAAAAAAAAAAAAAAAAAAAAATACTCCTTTCCACTGAGGCAGTCTTCTCTCACAACCCCTCCCCTTTTAGTATGCTACCATACTGATGTCAGGCAGTGTTCTGACTCCTGGAGATACAGCAGCAAGCAGGACAGACAAAGCCCCTGCTCTTACAGAATTTATATTCTGATGGGGGCGGGGGGGGCAGGTAGTCAATAAACAAACATATAGTGGTAAATGATATGAATTTTTAAAAAGCCGAGTGAGATAATAAAGAATGCTAGCAGAAGAGGTATATACCAGATATTATCTATTGAAACTTATTCCACATCAGCCCTTTTGTTCTCTCCCCTATACAATAAAGCTGGAAGCCTGAAAACAGTTTCCCAGACTCTCTTTCCAGCTGTGGTCCAGTTAGGTTTTGCCATTGAGATGCATTAACATGGTATTAGAAGGTGGAAAGAAGGTAGCAGGAGTATATCTCCTCAACTCAGTAACATCACTTTCCTCCAACAGCCCTGGGGACGATGGTGACTGCAGTTACTGATCTTTAGTAATACATGTTTCTTCTTTTGTTTCTCCATCTCTGCCAACACATTTGTAACCAATCCCATGCATTAAATCCTCTCTTCTCCTACCCCCTCCATTTGAAATACCTAGAGGAGTTTTGGTTTTCTTGTCCTGGACCTGACTGGTAGACAGGTAGAGTCCTCTGTTTTACAAAGGCTAATCAGGCCACACTGATGAGGGGAAATTAGAGTGGAAATCTGAAGGCATTGAGGGTATATGCCTCGTGAGCAGAACTGTGTTTCAAGCAGAGGGGACAACAAACACTAAAGCCCTGGAGTACATGCTTATCAAGTTTGAGGAACAGCAAGGAGGCCAATGTGGCTGAAGTATAGAGGGAAAGGAGAAAAGTAAAAGGAGATGAGGTTGGAGAGGTAACAGAAACAAGATCATTTTATTCTAAATGGACAGTTTTGAGGAAGCAAAACATAGCAGGGAGCATAAAATGTCTTAAATTTTTAAATTTAAAATGGCTTCTATATGTACGGCTTGGCATATGGGAGAGAAAAAGTGAAAAGCCGGGAGGCCAGTTAAAAGGATATGCAGTGGTTACTGTCTGTACCTCTTTGAAGCTTGTATTGTTTGTTCACTACTGTATTACCAATGCTGATAAAATTGCCTGACACACACACAAAAAAAATTAAATTAAAATTAAAATTAATTTAAAAAAGAAAAGGATATACAATACTCCAACAAGAGATTTGGACCAGAATGGTAGTGGAGATGGTGAGAAGTAATCAGATCCAGGATACATTTTGAAGGTAAAATCAACGAACAGGATTTGCCAGTGAATTCAAGGTAGAAGATAAGAGAAAGTGAAAAGTCAAGATGAACTCCATTCCATAACATATATTGTTTCCCTTGAAACTGTAGATGGTGAATTTTAGGTCTTTAAACTGGACATTAGTCAGCCAGCTGCCATTAGCTTCAGGAAGTCAAGATTGTATGCTTGTTATCTAGTTACCCAAAGTACTAGCAATAAATATTCCTTCCATAGAT